CTTAGCAACGGCGAGGTGCTAAGCAACTCAGTGAGACCTTGTCTCTCAATAAAATACAAATTAGGGCTGAGGATGTAGCTCAGTGGTTTACTGCACCTGAGTTCAATCCCTGGTTACCCCTGCCCGTCCAAAAAAAATAAAGAAAGAAGAAGAAATTCATACCTGCAGGTGTGAAAGTTATTTTTTCCTCCTGCTATAGTTTAAGAGTGTCCCCCAAAGTTTATGTGCTTTAACTTTGATTCCCAATGGAGCAGTGTTAAGAGATGGGACATAATGGGAGTTGTTTAGGTCACAAGGGCTATACCATGAACTTTAAAGCTGTTCTGGAGAGTGGGTTAGCTCCCATGAGTGGCTTTGTTATAAAAGCAACCTCTGTGTGCACTCTCTTGCGCTTCTGCTTTTCCAACATGAGGTGATGCATGAAAGTTCTCACCAAGCATTATCACCATGCCTTTGGACTTCTCATTTCCAAAATCATGAGCCAAATAAATTTCTTTATAAATCACTCAGTTTGTATTATTCTGTTATAGTAACACCAGACAAAGATATTTCAAAATTGCATCATTAAACAGAGAAAGATTATAAACTTTATCTTCTAATTGCTAGTTAAGGCATCCTTTGACAACCCCCTGCTCAAAACAAAACAAAACTGAATCCCTTTTTAAGACCTCAATTCAGGGCCTCTGGGAAGTCTTCTTTGATGTTTCTATAACTACTGAGTTTGTCACTTGTCTCATACTACTCTGATGCTATATAGATTTCTATCCCCTTAAATGCTAAGCCACTGAAGGGAGAGATTATTTTTCACAGGGTAGATACTTAATAAGAGTTTGGTGAATGAATAAATAAATGGATGACTACTGCCTGAAGGTTCAAGCAACAGAAGTCACTCGTGTAACTTGTTATGTCAACATAAAATTTCTTACTCCCAAGGAAGCACCACTCTGCCCTGTGACTATTTTCAGACCTGCTCCCATCAGGTACTCTGTTGAAGAAAGAGTTTTCAAGATGGTTGAACACATGTGCCTGATTAGTATCTCTGTAAACAATAGCTTCATCCCAGATGTTTTAGTTAGCCTTTTCTCTGCCGTGACTTAAAGACCTGACCGGCACAATTGTAGAGAAGAAAAAGTTTATTTGAGGCCTCACAGTTTCAGAAGTCTCTATCCACAGACAGTAGGTTCCATTCTTCAGGGCTTAAGGTGAAGTTGAACATCATGGCAGAAGAGGGTGGCAGAGGGAAGCAACTCACATGACAATCAGAAAGCAGAGAGAGGGCGCTCCACTTGCCAGAATATATATATATTATATATATGTCCCAAAGCCATGCCTCTAATTCCCTGCCTCCTCCAGCCACACCCCACCTGCCTTCAGTTAGCACCCAATTAATCCCATCAGATGGTTAATTCACTGATTGGGTTAAGGCTCTTTTAACCCAATCACTTCTTCTCTGAACCTTTTTGCATTGTGTCACATGTGAGCTTTTTTGGGGGACACCTCACAGCCAAACCATGACACCAGAGTTCCCCAAAGGAGCATTCCATTGGAGAATTCTCAAAACTCAGGGGTTGGCAAAGTTCTAGGTGAGTGCAGCACATCAGCTTTACCAGGTAAACCGGGAGTTCTTAGGGGACGTTTTTACCTTATCTCTGGAGGACATGTGAGGATACTGGCAATGCTGTTAAACCTTACTTCCAGATCCCCTTGGACTAGGCTAAAGATGTGTCCCTCAGGCCTGGGAACTGCCCTCTTCAGAGCAGTCAGGTGATACAGTGGAAAAGGAAGGCCACAGCCATGCATTTTTGTCAGGCTGCTCCCTTTCAAGAGTCAACTTACTTTTGTATAAAATGGGCAAAACAGCAGTGTCCTTACCTGGACAGTGTTTGTCCCTATGGGCTATCTGAACCTTACAGACTAGCATAAAACACAGACTTTGAACAACTCAGTAAATGTTCTATCAATTATAAAATAAATGATAAGATGCAACAAGAGCTCTCAAACAAGGTACCAACTTAGTCTGGGGGGTCATAATAACTTCCTGGGGGTGGTTACAGTAAGAGCAGGTTGAGGAGAGGTGAGAATCAGACCCTATCAACCATTAAATGAACACGGGGCCAGGAAGTAAGCAGGTGGTGTCTGGTAATTTTGGATGCACAGGACAGACAGCTCCTGCCCTAATGGAGCTCAGTATTCAGTTGTGAGAAACACCATGGCAGATTACACAAATAATGAATTAATTACAACTGGAACAAATTTCATGGGGGAGTCAAAGAAAAAGAACTGAGATAATGTACCTACCAGTGCTTTATGAACTTTCTCATCCCTGAAAAATGCTCCTTTCTGCTAAGATACTAGAAGGGACAAGGGGTAGATAAAATTAGAAAGAAAGTTTCCTTTCTCCTTCCTTTCCTCTCTCCCTTTTCCTTCTTTCTTATCTATTTCATCATGAACATGCTAGGCACATGGTAAATAATCAGATTGGCATCTTTATTCTCCAAACTAGTTTTAGTGTTATATTTAAATGTTACCAGTGCTATTTTTTCCCTGAATGCTTTGATCCAAAAGGTGATGTGTGATTATCTAACTTTATTACTTGGAGAAAATGTAAGGCAAGAGTACCCACACATCCTGGCCACATGGAGAGGAAGTAAAGTGAACAGTCGTTCCAATGCACACATTGCTAAGTAGGACAAAGGTGATCTGTGAGATTTTTAAGGAGAAGCCTTCACTAAGACAAAAGACCTTCCCCAAGAAGCCTGTTGCTAAAGCTGCACTGAACTAAGAGAGAAAACCCTCAGGCCATTTCAGGAAATGATGGAAGAAAGCAGAAGTTTTAATAAGTTTACTATAAAAAATATTAAATTTCAAAGCCAAAAAACAATCTCCTAAGGCTTCAGTAGAACCTTAGCTCAGACTGCTTTGTAAACATGACCTCATCTTTATTAAAGACAGCATCAGCTGGGGTCTGGCAGTGAGGAAGCAGGACAAAAAGAACAGTCACTTCTCCAAGGCCATGCAGAAACCTGTGACAGCCAGCCTGTCATCAGTCACAGAAGAAGGAAGGTTCACCTATCTACTCACACATCTGTAGCTGACACTTCAGGTTTATGGCACTCTATTTTCTAAAAACTGTCCTTTCCCTAGAAAAGAGAGCTTTGAAGATTCAGGGAGACCTGTATGTGCCAAAGAAGTTGCTTTAAGGCTTCATCAATTGCCATGGCCTCCAGCTGTATAAAAATAGGAAAGAGCGGAGTTGTGGGGTGGCTCCTCTGGATTCCAAAATGGAGTGGATGGGCACAGAAGACAGGTGGTTCTTCAGCAGACACTATGAGCATTTAATAATCTAATACTTTTATCATGCAAAGTCTCCAATAACACCATCAACTGCATGAAGGAAAAACTAAATAGTTTGATATTTTAGTATAAAACAAAATGGTAATCAAACCCATTCTCTTATAACAGCCCCCTCAATATTAAAAAATAGCATTTATTATTATTAAAACTGTACCATAAAGAACCTGTGATGGGGGCTGGGGTTGTGGCTCAGTGGTAGAGCGCTCGTCTAGCATGCATGAGGCACTGGGTTTGATCCTCAAAACTATAAAAATATAAAATAAAGATATTAGGTCCCCCTAAACCCCCTAATTTTTTTAAAAGAACCCCTGATGGTAAATACAAGGTCATATTTCATAAATCATGAACATTTCAAAGTGACATAATAAAGTATAATATAACAATAAAAAGGTATTCATATCATGAGCATATGGCTTGATATATTTTCAGAAACTAAGCATGAAGTTTTATGGCCAACTTCAACCAATCTTTCAAATAATGTGATAATAAGAGACAGTTTGGAAGAGTGGAAGGGAAAAACCAGAGGCCAAGGAGGCTGATGGGCCTGTTTTTTGTTCTGGCCATAGGACACTGGATAAATCGTTGACTTCTATTAGTCTTCATTGCCACATGTAATCAGATTAAAAAAATTCTAAGTGTATCTCTGAGTCTAAAGTGTCATACTCTGAAAATAAAGGCTGCCTTACCTTCAAATCAAGTGCTCTAGATGTATCACCTACAGATTGTTTCAGATATCTTGGTTAGGCCAACATGTTATGGTAACTCACAACGCTAGGGAGAAAGTAAAGTTAGGCTGTAACCTTTTTTTTTTGCCTTTCCTTGGCCATTTCCTGTACATGTACTATTAAGAAATGTTATCTTCATTACCTGTCAAAATGAAAGACAGGCCAAATGCCAGCAGCAGAACTGATCTAGATTCCTAATGAGCCAGTGCAGCTGCCTGGTTCTTGGGCCACAGCACCTGGGGACAAGCAGGGCTGAAGTCATCACTGGGACCCAAGATTCTGGGTTGCAGACATTCTATGTTAATGAAGATATGTTTCTCTCCTCAACTTTGGAACTTCTGAGTTTTGAATCCTGCAGACTTTTAAAGTCAGTCCTTTAAAAATTTTAACATGGTGTTGCTACTTGGTTTTGGTAATGAGGTGTTCTTGTGGGCATAGGTAGTATTAGCTGAAATGAGCATGTGCTCACACTTATCAAATAAATCAACATGGAGGTGTGTTAAGTCAGGTTTTCACCTCAGTGTGGTTAAAACACGGAGAAGGAAAAGCATATAATGAAAAAGATTATTCCAGGAGGTGGGCCACCTATTTTATTTTAGGACATTGCAGTTAACTCCTTTAGATCAGCTTAAGATTAGTTTCCATAGATTAAAAGGCATTCAAATAGAACGATTTAACATATCTTCCAAAAATAATTTACATAGGAGAGTTCTGTTTTCCTCCACTGTGGGCTGGTTTTGAAGGGCTGATAAAGAAATCTGCAGTAACCTCTGATATACTGTGGTAATGACATGCCAAATTGCCCCGCACTAGTCTAAAAGAACGCAAAGTAGGCCAGTCTTTGACCATTCCAGCACATTCCTACATGCTCATTACTGAGTTAGACACTGAAGAAACCAAATGAAACATACTATTCTCGCCTTTGAGAAATCAGTAATATATTTGGTTGGGTGCATACATAAACAACTAAAGGATCAATTATTGCTATGGAGGCCATATGATTACAGAAGAGAGACAGGAAGAAGGGTTATTGTGGTTGCTTGGAACGTTTCTGTACAACAGAAAAAGGGTAAAATTGCATTTAAAGATAAAAATATTTCAAATTTGAACTATCAAATAAAAGAAAAATCTAATGGATTAGAAAATCTGGAGAGAATACCACATTTGCCAAATGCCAACTGGCTCAATGTTCTAGAAGCATGCAATTAAAATTTGCATATTGAGAGTCAAACATCCAGGACTATTTAAAATGGGCAATAATAAAGGCTTATTTCTCTAGATTTTCTCACTCTTAAAACCTAATCCTCACTCTGGAGACACACTGTCCTAGGCTCCTCACCCCAACGTGGTGGTATTAAATTGAGAATACAGAATAAGAGGCAATGGCAAATGTAAGAGTTATTTATGGACTGAGCAATAAAGCATAAAACTGCAATCTTTCTGAAAAAAATCAATTATCTGGACTGATGAAAATTCAAACTTGTAATAAATTATTATTTTTTAGATTATTAACTAAAATAAGTAAAGGGTTCTTGAGGCCAGACTTTAGGGAAAAAATGCTGATATATCCTTAATAACCAAAATGACCTACCAGTCCTCAGTTATAACAACAGAAGTACATAGTAGATTATCTGGAAAATCACTGTTTTGAAAAATTGCACATGAATGTTAAAGTCTATTTAAATGGCTATTTTAAACATAGATAAAAGATAAAAGTGCTAATAAGCCATACAGATCACTTATAATGTGGCTATTAAAAAGTCCAACAGATATTTTTTAAAAGTCCTTACGGCTCACTCATATAACAGAAAAACATTCACATTGCTCAAGTTAAATCACAATATATCTCTTAAATCTGCTTAACCTGAAAGCTATTTAAATTTACAAAAATCAAAATATTCATATTTACAATTTAAACATCAATATGACACTGTAAAGATATGTGCCATTCTGGGAAAAGCTGAGTTTTCCCCTGATATAAGTTTAATGTTAAAATAAAGGTATACTGTATAAAACCAGCAGTTTCTCTTGTCACAAACAGCATTATTTTTCCTGTCAAGACATTCCCATTATTAATGCCACTTATCTAGTAAGGACTACAGAGCAATCAGATTTGCTTTATTTATAAAGTTTCTAATAGCTGACTTACAGACATTCAGTAAGGAAAGTAAGCACCTTAGCATCATAAAACATTGTCAATACATGTGTTTTTGATGGTGTTCTTTTTTTTGGGTCCCAACTTGAGATTCAAATTTCTACAGAAAGAGGTAACTTTTAAGTCACACAACAGCATGGCCACTATATATGGTTTTGAATTATAAATTATGTATTGGTTTCTATATCAAATGCCAGAGTTCCTACATATGGAGATCAGTTCATTTTCCATATTCAACTTCATGGAGATTTGTTCCAATAGTAATTTAATCAAGTACCTTTTTACTTGATAGCGATGTGGAAATCATGTAGAACTGAAAGAAGAATTGGGAGTAAATCTGGAAAATCAGAAAACTATTCTTGTCTAAGTCAATTTTCTGTGAATAAAAACACTTCAAATGTGTTTTATCTACATAGCTTTGTTGGCCTAAAAATTTACAAGCTTAGTGCAAACCAGGCGTAAGTTTCATTACATATTTTTAAACAACAAAAGGTCCTTTTCTTGGTCCATTTTCTTCTGTGTCTTCAACTAGAACATGATTTCTAATCTATTATATTCTGCGTCCATTTAAACACTAAGTGCTCATAGGCTGACAGATTTCTTTTCTCCTTCTTGGAAAGCTTGTCCTATTTTCTCCACACCAGATAAAGTCCACCCAGATGCGCTGATGGGCACCTCCCTCTCTCACTGCCCTCCCAACCCTGGATGCCTTTGCAGTCCTCCTCCGTATTCTTGGGTGGGCAGAAACTCATGGAGATGCAGCCACCAGGCAGCTTGCTACTCTCTTGAAGCACATCTGGGCTTTATATCAGGCCTTTAATTAATCCTCAGTGAAAGCCAAGCTATGACATTTTGACTGGGCAGGCTCCAGTTCTGGACAGGTCTTGATTTATTGCGACTGAGTCTCAACCAACTTTGATTTATTTCAGCTTTGGGGAGGAGGGCAGGCTCAGAACAGAAAAGCGCTGTTGAATGTCGGGCACGTGATGTCAGGACAAGACCTCCAGACTTCCGAAGGCCGCAGGGCAAGTGGGTCAGAAGAGAATGGCCTCTGAGAATGCTGTTTTTAAAATCCCAAGTTTTAAATAACATGAAATTCTATGAAACAAAAATGCAACCATGGAAGAGAAAATGGTTCCTGAAATGCTGGCTGATGGCTATAGAACAGGCAGCCTAGGCTAATCTCTGGGAAAAGGAGGTATCTCAGGAATCTGAGTGACAATCAGGACTCTCATTTGCATTGGGGTGGAGGCTGCACAGGCTCCTCCTTCCTGGGGCTGCTTAGAGAGCAAAGATGGGGGCTTCCAAAGGATCCCCCCTCCTCAGCACCAAGAACAGCTTTCGACTCTTTAAATAAAGGCAGATTTCCTTTTCTCAGGTAGAGAGAATAAGTCAAAAGCAAGCAAAGTTATTTGATTAAACAAAAACAAAGTTACTCAACTAATAAATTTCTGTCCTGGGCAGGCACTCCTGTCTGGAATACTGACAATGAGCTGAGCTCACTGCATGTCCTTGAGTCCATTAGAATGGTCACTGCCACTCTCAACCCAGCACTTCACAATACTCTGACACTGGCCAAGCTGGGGCCCACAGGATGATGCCCTTGAATGCCTTTCTGCAACCTTGATCCTTGTCATAAAGCAGGGGCCCTCATTATAGCATCTTTGATGACAATGCCCCATCTACCTTCATGGGGAATGGACTGCACAGGATGAGCATCCCTGATGTCACTAAAAACATGGCTGACAAAGGCAAGTGTCAACAATTGTTCAAGGCAAAGTTAAGTTTCTTAAAAGCGGTAGGGAAAATGGGCTAAAAAAAAAAAAAAAGAGAGAAGAGAGGAAGTAGAAGAAAAGGGACAGGAACAGAAAAAACGATAGAGGCAACATGGCCCAAGACATGGGTAGAGCATAGGCTTTGGCCTTGGGAACACATACATTTGAACATCTCATAGCTACTTATTTATGTGTGTGAGGAGTCTCCTGTTCTTCAGGGACAAAATGGGAATCAAGCCCTTATTCTGCAGGACTTCCAGGAACACATGAGGAAAGGCCTACAAAGCTCTTACCACAATTAATGCTAGTGCTGAGGACCCAGGGGTAGGACCTCAAAGGCACCCGTGTGCCCACATCTAGTGTAATTGTACAGTTGTAGATGCTGGTGTGTGAGGTTCTAACAGGGTGTCTGGGGACATGTCTTTGGGAAGGAATGCCTAGGTGGCTGTGAGTCCCTGCCACCTGCTGTGCTCCTATGGAAGTGAAAAGTATTCACCATCTTTCCTCACAGATTCACATAGAATGTCTATTATGAAAGTCAAGAATTTGTAGCTGAAACTACTGAATGAGTGATACTTGTGACAAGTATTAATGTCATTGTTAGTTTTGTGACTAGACTTAAAGCTTGAGCATGAGGACATGAGAGAAGTGCTATAATATTTTAAACTGGCTTCAGGATGTGTGTGTGTGTACAGACACACACACATGTGTATGGTGGGTGGTCAATTTCCCATTTCTGCAAATAGTCAAGTGCCAACTTTGAGACCTGGCATGCCAGGATTCGGTAAGCAAGCTCCAAGCATGGGGTAAGCTGTAAAATCCACAGAGTCACCAGGATTTTTAGGCAGTAATGTAACCCATACCAAAACACTAATGGCTATAAATGAAATAACCAGAGTTGAAGAAAACAACTGCATAATAAAATACAAACGTTTTATCATTGAAGATGGCATATTTTAATTTTTATTGCCAGTTTTTTCAACCTAAGGTCAAAGTTACCTCAATGTATATATTTACTGCTTTTGGAATCAAAACTCTATGGTACTCTAGTTTCGTGGAGATTGTGAACTGGTTAAGAACTGAGAAGCCACAGGTGAGGAGTGCTGGGCATTCACAAGACCTGTGAAGCCTGGAAGCCCTAGGTCTGCACATCAGGGTTCCTCTGGCTCCAAAACTATGTGTATCACAGAACAAGGAGAGAAAAAGAGCCAAAGTCCTGTAGGACCTGCCCTCTAATCAGGATCCGGGCTACCTATAGCCTAGGCTACAAGGTCCTACTCCCCAGCCATTCTGTTGCTCCTGAAGCAGAGACAGGACCCACTGTGGGGCCTACCCAAGACCAGTCCCAGGCTTCAGAGAAGGAGGAGATGGAAATCAGTACCAGTCCTGATAGAGGAGCACCCACTCCTCTATCAGGACTGGTACTGCCAGAATTCCAATATTTTCTGTTAATCTGTGAAAAAGAAGATGGGAGTTGATGGTAATAGGTCCTTAAATTTGTACCTGCAAGCATATTCTCTAATATAATATCCTGGTTTTAATGCATATTTTCTCTCTACATTGGTTGTTGACTTTTGTGAAAGAATAGCATGAGCATACACACGCATGTCTATGTTAATGTGAACCCACATACACACAGATTCAAATCACTTCAAGCTCCCTGGGAACAGAGAGGGAAAGATGAAAAACCAGTGGACAAGTTCTAGAAAAGCAAGTGCCACAACTCCAATGACACCAGTTTTTAAACCTGAATTCAGACAAAATTTAAACAAACAAATCTGATACAAATATGCTGTGGCCTATGTAGAGATAACTTTCTAAAACTATTTTAAAGAAAGCTTTATTTAAGAAATCCAAAACCAACACCAACTTTGGGCCAGTACAGAATTAAACAAAAGCATGATGTGAACCCTCCTGGAGGGTCCACATAAAGGAACCTTCAAACACATGGGAACACTTTCCTTTGGGACACGGTTGTTGGGGTTCAGAAAGGATACACCCAAATATGCTGCTTTAGATTTCCAACTGAAAATACCTTGAGGGCAGTAAAAAGGGAAGGGTTTTTTTCTTACAGATCTGCCAAAAAGGAACATAAGTGCCTTCAAGCTTGTTACTGAAATGTCATTAAGCAAGGAGAATACCGTTTTAACAACAGAGGATGAGACTGAAAATCAAACACTCACCCAGAGCTCAGAGGAACTCATCCTAGGCCACTGTTTTTCACCTCCATTCGTCTCCTCTCAAAATCACTTACTCTTCTTCTAAAAGTGCCTGAAGCCCCCTTCCCTCTCCCTTCTAAAGAGGGTACTTATACCTCAACCATTTGCCTTTGCCCAAGTTTCATCATTTGTGTGGCTCCTATGCATCTGTGCACTTCCATAAGTGCACAAATCGTGTACCTTTTTTCCTGTTAATCTATTGTTGGCTTATTTCAGCACACTGAAGCATGGAAGCTTCAGAGGAAAAGTTTTAATTTCTCTACAGTGTATTTCTTTTTACAGATCAATAGGCCAATGAGTTCATAAAGCAAATGTCACTGACTTATTGAATTTAATAAAGCAAGTATGCCACAGAATGACAACGAAAGACTTCTTCTGGGCCTCTGTGGAGCTGACATGCATTTTACAAAAATACAAATGAATAAAGTTTTAAGAAAATATGTGCTTACAAGTATTAAGGTGTACTTATATACTTATGTATTAGAGATAATAATGATCAATAAGCAAGCTATGCTTTAGGCAAGCACTCGACCACTGAGCTATACTCTCAATCTCTGTCATTTTTTAAAATTTTATTTTCAGTTTTCAATGGACTTTTTCATTTTATCTTATTTACATGCAGTGCTGAGAATCGAACCCAGTGACTTGTACATACTAGGCAAGCACTCTACCACTGAGCTATGACACCAGTGCCCCCTGTGTCACTTTTATAAGTTACTTTTCTCATATTTTTTTCATTTGAAAATTTAAACTCAGGTTTCTCTTTGCCAGGAAGTTTACAAGTATGAACTACCAGTTCTGTTCTAAATTTCTCTATGAAAAAATACTTATTGAATCAAAAACTTTCTTTGAGATGTACACAATCTGAGTTCTGATATAAACTCCAATAAAGATGGTGTCACTTAAGTCTCATCATTCTTATCAGCAAAGGTACAAAGAGGCAAGAAAAGTCTGTTGCCCCTTTCTGCCATAGTTACCTCTTCTGATCATCACTCTGATCCTGAGGCAGACAGTAGGCAATTCAAGGCATGAATTGCTGCTTCTTGTCTCAGAGATTCCAAAAGATGTAGAAGTTCAGATGTTCCCATGACTCTTGCTTATGAGTAGTTGGCATGTATTAGAAAGATCAGCTATATTTTACTTACTCATATTTTAAATAACTGAAGATTAGAGTAGAAATTAATAAACTAAGAGCTGTGTATTAAAATCCCAGGTTTTCTGTTGACTCATGACTGGCCCTAAAGGCAAGAGTAATTAACCCCAGAGGAGTTAGAACATTCATATCTCTGCAATGAGGACAACTGTACCAACTGGCTCAGGAAAGTACCTCAAGATCCTCAGAGAAAAGATGCTATGTAAATGGAAAGGATGATAGGGCTCTTCCCCCAAACAGGACATTCATCACACCAGTAAATTTACAGGTGCTTAATTCATTTGTATGGCTGCCATTAGGAACAAAAAGAGCACACCAGACTCCTGCCTTAAGGAAAGTCCCTTCAAACAAAGACTTTTTGTGACTAGTACAGCTTGGTAGTCTTTAAATGGAGTGGGCTAAACTACAGACAAAGCAGCAGCTGAAAAGCTTAGGAAGAGAAATGGAACTCTGGGCCTGAAGCTAAAGCACTTAAGTAAAGTGAGTGTTTCTAGAACTTCACTTGACAATTGAAGTTCTGCCTACTTTTGAATTACCTATCTGAAAGAATGGATTTAAGAGACTTGACAAAGACCCAAATGTACAAACTCTGTTCTTATGGTTAGTTTTGTGTCAACAACTAGAAGCCTTCTTAGGTCCTTTACTTAAAAACTTTTGGGGATTCTTTGGATTGCACAAGGCTCTTGCTGTGAGGTGTAAGAGTCTCTGCTTTTGACTGGTGCCCTGGTAGTCATTCAGAGTGAGTACTAATTAGCTGCTTTACCCAAAGGGCAATCTGTATTCAGAAATCTGAGAAATTAGTCTGTGAGTGCTGCTAGCTAAAGCCACTCCAAAACTTCCCTGAAAAACTCTCCAACTGGGAGAAGAATGGGGAAAGTCTTGTATGTGCTCCTTCAGTGTGAGGGGCGCTATGTGGCCAGGGCCCATCAGCTAATCATTGAAGACAAGGTAAGGGTCACTGAGGCCTCCCATCACATGCTTACCATGGAGGAAATGACAAAGTGCTTATCAAAAAGAGAGTAACCTACAAGCATCCCAGCTTTCTTTTTTCATGGCTTCCTATCTTCAGAATTTGATAACTGTAGATGGAGACTACTGGGTTCTGAATGTGCAATTTCATGCATAACAAAGCGAATTTCAAGTCCACAAGTATGCAGAATCCCTCTGTTAACAAAGGCAGGTGATGGCTGCCATGTGACATGAAGTGTGTCTGATTCGAGTCGAGATTTCAAGTGTTAAGCACTTACTGAATTTTAAACAGAGTATAAGATGTCTCAATCACTTTTAAATTTCTTCTACATATTTAAATAATATTTAGTTTATTAACTAAACTACAGTATTAAAATCAATGTCAATTGCTTCCTTTACATTTTTCAGTATGGTTAACTAGAAATTATATTTTAAAATTTTTATTATTTCTTGCTTATTTTACTTTTTGATGCTGGGTTTGCATAGGGCATCAAGCATGACAAGCATGCACTCCACAACTGAGCTATACCTCCAGCCAGAAAATTTATAAATTATAATCAATCATATAGATCACATGAGTAGCCTGAATTACATTTTTAACAGATAGTACTTTCTACAACATCTTTTATCCTGGCATATAAAATTAAATAGAAATTATCTTAAACTAGTGCAGAATAACTGATGTAAACTTGAAAAAAAAGATATTAGGCTATATGAATTAGTTATTTTACTTAGTAATTTCATAATATTAAAACATGAACTCAAATTCAGAACTAGAGAACACCTTATTCTGTTACCAGATATTTTAAAAACATCATTTTACACTAAATATTAAATAATGCTTGTATGAAGAATTGTTTATTAAGCTGGAATCATATTCTCAGATTATGAACCTAGAACTACACAGAACTCTAGTCTCTGACTCTGAAGATGAGAAAAATCCATATGGCAAAGTGATTTTCTAGAGGTACAAGGAGCAGTAGCACAAAACTCAAGACTCAAAATCTAGCAAGAGGGACACTACTCACCAAGAACAAGGTGCCGTGGGTCAAGTCACACAATCAATCACCCCCACCAGTCTTCAGCCCAAGAAAAGAGGAAGTAGGACATGAAGGATCAGTTTTCCAGTTGGAGGTAAGTTGTAGAAGCATAATGCACACATTGAAAATTGTGTGTGTGTAAATAAAAAAAAGTGAAATTAATGCCCTCAATGAACATGATAGCTTTCCTCTAGGTAAGTATTATTAACCCTTAAAAAGGGCTATAGAAAAACTGCTTTCTGCTTTTAAGAAAAAGTTTGGAATGGGGATGTAACTCAGTGGATTATTACACTTACTAAAAAATGTTTTCAAAGTTCACTGCACTTGCCATTCCCTGTAATTGGTCTACAACATTTTTGGCTATTGAACACAGACAGTCTGGTGTTTTCATGCATCCTGCAACTGAATTTCCCCTCTTGAGTGATTTGATACAAGAGGTGTTTCCACAGCCTGGACTCTGCAGTCAGGGGTAGGCTGAGATCTATGACATTTCTAACAACAATGCACACGTACACTTGATGTAGGTAATAGAAAGGGCATGAAAGTAACATTTCTAAAACTAATAAGCCTTCCCTACATACTTATTAGCAAAACCAGAGGTAGGGAAACTGTGTCCAGGGGCATGCTAATGTCTCCCAGAGAAGTCCAGGCAGGAACTTCAGCTGTTCTATCTTTGGACCATTAATACTGGATGTTGAGTCAGGCTACCTCCCAAAACACCTACAACTGAAAAGTAATTCTTCTCAAATGAAAACTGGCATGTTAAGTGTACCCTCTAGGTTTGGGGAATGTTTCCCATCCCCAAATAAATTTTAAAGCACAAAGAGACAGTTAGAAATGGTCACTCGGCTGATAACTGTGTTTTATTTAGTAATCTGTCAGATATGGCAGAAAAAAACTGACCTTTATATTTTAATTTTCTTTGCTTGTTCTTTTTCCCATTTTAAAAAATATGGAATTTGTCAAAAGAATTAACAGAAATCATGAGAGTATGATATGCCTTTCCTTGTCACACTGGCTCATTTTCAAGGGAAAAGAATTATAGCCAGAGAGAGGATGTTGCCACACGCGTATAATAATGGCATGAACCATCCTGACTCGCAACATAAATTGAACCATTAAAGGATTTAAGTGTTCCTCATTAACTTTTATTAGCCTCAATTTTTAACTTTTTTCCTTCCTCTTAAAATTAAAACTGAGTATTCCCTTCAAGTTTGCACACCTTCCAGGAGCATTCAGACTAAAATGGGTCTTTGTAGGATCACGGACTGGTTGTCTATGAGGGAAAACAAAACCTCAAATAATCAAATCCTCTGGTACAGAATTTCTTTCAAAGTCTCTAACCCTTTATTTAAAAAATAGTAAGTCTAAGGCTATAATTTTAAAGCTTTTTCTAACTTAGTCCTGGGAAGAATAAGAGATTTCATATTCCTGTCATTTTTCTGTTTATCATTCCTATCATTAAAAAGGATGTAATCTAATCAAAGCCTTGTGGAGAAGGCTCCAACTTTGTAGAAGTCTTCCTATGTGTATGGGGACTAGGTTAAGCACTTTGCCTTTATTATCTTATACAACAAAGCCTGAAAGCTTTAAATAGGTATAAGACACTCTTATTATGAAATGTACTACCCACTGGTTGATTAATTCAATATCAAAAATAAACAAACAAACCAACCAGAGAAAGAGAGAAGAAACAAACATATTATATAAAAAAAAAACCCTTTTGATGTTTGTTTCTAAAAATAAATGTAGCATGTCATAAAGTGATAAGTACATACAGGGCAAGAGATTTTTTTCAAAATGGGTGGAATGTTATAACATAAAAACACAAAATTACAATCTTGTGCACACACTCCTGTAGAATTATGTCTAATGACCACTTGATTTTTTTCTGCCACATTAAAGGCCCAAATAACTACAAAAAAGTACCTTTCAAAATTAGATCTACATTTACCTCTGTCACACAAAATATGAATTGAGCAGAGATGTTCAGTTGTATAATTGATGTGTAATCATTATCTGTTGCAAATTTGATCCTTTATTTTTGTCAACTGACTCTTAAAGAAACTCAGACATGGCAATTATGTCCTGATTATATTTCTAGTTACCTTAATAAGCAAATTCGGTAGCCACTATGTATAAGAAATTTTAGAAGCAAGTTTTCTTTCTTAAAGAATAAAATGGTGCAATTCTTTTAAATTTAAAATACTCTATTCCAGTTCTAGGGGAAAAATAATACTATGTCAAAAAATGACAATACTATGCATTTTTTTTTCACCTTGGAAACTTTAGACTTGAAAGAAAGTTTTCCATCACTCCAGTTGAATTCTAAGACCACCAGTATAACAACACCACTCAGAAAACCACAGGGGTGGCCTTGCTAGAATATACATAGAGTTGCTGAGGAACAGGAAACGAAGCCAGATGGTTCTGCTGAGGGAAGCACTTTTTTTTCCTTCATAAAGCCAAAAAAGTACTAATAGGTCAAACACAAAAATGCAGATATGGTAAAATAGAAAGCTAACAGGGAGATTTATGTAAACAAGACACACTTAGTTTTGCATTATGTTCTCATCTACATCAGTAAATGGATGCAGAAAAGGAAAAAGAAAAAGAAAAAAAGAAAAGTAATACAGTAGATTTATCACTTAGATCTGGGGGGGTTTCTTGACAGGGAGAAAAGCTACTAATTCTGCTTGAGCACTGTTATAAAATTTTGGAAATTCAAACACACTGAGCATCTGCGAGTTATTGTGAAAACTTTTTTTGGTGAAACTTTAATACACACTCTGATATAATCACAGTTTATACCCTGGCTTCTTATACATCTGGTTAAGTGTGGTTGATCACAATTGCATGAAGTCCAAAAGCAGTACAACAACCTGACAGCAATCTGAGCCTGCTTCTAGAGTAGGAGGACCACATGCTTTGAGCTCCCTCAGTGCACACTTATGCCCTAAAATTTCAGAACTGACCTGGTACTGGGACTTGATTCAGGCAAGTGTCTCCCAGAACACCTGGCTTTGTATGAACAATACTCTCTATATAACACCCTTATCTTGTCTTCCTTGATTTGAATATTTGAAGCTCAACACCTGGCTGCCTAACCTCTCTTCCAACAGAGTGGTCAGTAGACATGTTTCTGGCTAATGAAATGCTCATTCTGGTGGCCAGATTTCTGTGGCCTGCCCTTTCCTGCCTGAGCCTGGGTGGAAGGTACATAGGACAGGTGGGCTGAAGTACCCTTGTGATCATGAGAGGCTCAAAATAATACCAAAGACTGGTCCTCACATCTGTGAAGCATTCAATGGCTGGTAGTTGCATAGTAGTCCTAGACTTACTGCACTCCTTTACTGATATATGAAACAACTGAGATTACCAGTGTCCATATCACAAAGGCCACAAAGGGACTTCAGATTCTGAACTCTCTTTGTTAAACCAAGAATATCTCTGAATAATACTGTTAGATGATGGGTACTAATCTGTTAGATGATGGGTACAAAAAAGTACTAATAGGTCAAACATAAAAATGCAGATATGGTAAAATAGAAAGCTAACAGGGAGATTTATGTAAATAAGACACACTTACTTTTGCATTTTGGAGATGATACACAAAGTTGCTTCAGTTTTATAGGAATTGATGAGGCTGATCTAGCTTGCGGTCTGCCTCTCTGGAGTAGTCATTAATAAATGAGCAGAGTAGTCATTAATAAATGTGCACTGAGTCCCTGTGTTCAGGGTGCTGTGGGAGGGGTGCTGGGGACTACCAAAAGGAGACAGCTGGGGGGGGCTCTCAGGAATGGGAATAAAGAGAACTTAAGGCCAATATGAAAAGTGGCCAGGAGTATTATGGTGGGGTTAGGAGAGAGGACAGGTCCTGCCCACGGACCAGTGGGGGCCAGACATGGATAAAAAGCCCCATTGTGAGGGATTGAACTCAGTGTCTTGCCATTACTGAGCATGTGTTCTACCACTGAGCTATACCCCTAGCCCCCAAAAGATTCTTATACAGAAGTGTTTAACAGTAGCTGTAGAAAACCTACACACACTCTGTAGGAAGAAGAAAAGCATTCTGCAGTATCATGTCAGGTTCTTCATCTGTGGGATTTCATTCCCTTCTGGCTGCACTTCACCTACATGTTCAGAGGACAGTTCCCAGGTCCCTCCTGCAGCCTCTGACTCAGTATAGTGATGCTGTGTGGGTTGTCCATGCTGGAGGGAACAGGGAAGGGAAAAGAGAACAGAAGGAGAGGAAGAGAGAGAGGCAGTGAGGAATAGGAAATGTCAGGGTACAGTGAGTTAGGAAAGATCCTACTGAAATATTTAACTAAGCTAATGTAATTTCTTGGAGGCCCACTAGACTTCTAACATCCCAGAGCCCTATACCACACGCAATTAAACAAGCAAACCCGTAATTCATTAGGGATAATTTTAATAGATGACTCATTTGGCCCAGTCATTCAATGATGCTTTGGTTTCCCAAAGGCCCTGGAAGATAGTTAATCACAAGGAAGCTTTCAGCTACCACTGACAAGCAACAATGGAATTTAAACCACCTCTGCCACTTCTTCAAACTTCTTACTGCAGGTTTTGTGAAGATAAAGATCAAATGAAACAATTTCTGTTAAACTTGTATTTCCTGTACAGAGGTGATACCTTCCTTAAATTGTATGATTGTACAACTATTAAATTAATACTTACTGCAGAGGAAGTCTCCTGTTTAGAATGCAGAACCTGGCCTGGTAACTTTTGGCTCTTCAAATGTTTTACAGTATGCTTCTCAATTTCTCACACTGGAGCAGCCTTATAGGATGAGTAGAGAACTTAGAAGACCAGTGATAGAAATGTTAGCTTGTCTGCAACTGCTAGTGAGAGGCATATATTTGTTAGATGGCCAGTGTTTGAAGTCAGTGAAAAATGGGTTTAAAATCTCACAAGGATGTCTAAATGTACTAAAAATCACCCTAGAAATAGCAATGTGTCAAGAAGACATCACACTGAACAAACCGCTCAGTACGAATGAGGACTTCAGATAAAGGCTTCTCCTTTCAAAGTCAGCCAATCCTTATGACAAATACAAATATAATTCCTGCTGTCTTAACCATGCTTAGAGATCTATTGGGAAAATAGAAGAGGTCAACTGTCCCAGGGTTAAGTAGAAATCTGGTGAAAATTCTATTTTATTTTCAAACTTGAAATTTAAGATCAGTGAAAAGCACAAATAAATCTTGACGTAAAAGAGATACTATAAAAAATAAAATGAAAGTGTGTAGCCCTTGTAATCCTGATTTTTGCCTTTTCCTGGTGAAAAGAAGGTAGGTGGGCTGCTATACCCTGAATGAGTACAGATATGGTGACAGGATGGCCCAAGAGGCAGAAAGCCACAGTCACCTCCCTGGAATGCAACCTGTCCCCTCCAGCACAGGCAACCCACACAGCATCACTACACTGAGTCAGAAGCTGCAGGAGGGACCTGGGAACTGTCCTCTGAACATGTAGGTGAAGTGCAGCCAGAAGGGAATGAAATCCCACAGGTGAAGAACCTGACATGATACTGCAGAATGCTTTTCTTCTTCCTACACAGTGTGTGTAGGTTTTCTACAGCTACTGTTAAACACTTCTATATAAGAATCTTTTGGGGGCTAGGGATATAGCTCAGGAGTAGAACACATGCTCAGTAATGGCAAGACACTGAGTTCAATCCCTAGCAATACACACACACACACTTCTTTAAAATTTCACATATATGTAAAAGCAAAGTTTTATTATTAGAAGGTGACCTGCTTCTACTTTTTGTGTATGTGTTAGAATTGTAAGATAGGAAGAAATAACAGAAAAATCTTAAGATTTTCTGTAACAATAGTATCTGTGATGGAAATTTGGGTCCATTTAGAAGAATCTATTAAAAACAAGACCCTGGAAAACTAAAAGCAAAATACACTGATGAGCATGCAAATAAAAAGATTTCTGAATGAGATGATGGCATGTTATCAGGCATGCCCAGGAGCATTTGACCAGTAAATAAATGAAGTTTTTGTGATTTTTAAATTTCGTTTTTTCAGTCAGGGCCAGTTTATCATTCATTCTGTTCTTCTATCTGCTCAGAAATCCATCTTTAAAAATAAGAATAAAGTCTAATAGTAGAAATCTAGATTCTAGTAGAATCTAAAAACAATTAGGAAATGACCACTATATTAGCACATACAGGCACTTCTCAGTGTCCCTTATGGCTTATAAGCAATCAGACAGAAACATGCTCAGAAACATTTTGCTGCAATCAAGTAAACATATCACGACTCAGCCTGAATGTGGAAAGATAATGGTCAGTGGGAAATGTCTTATACTAAGAAAACATCTTTTACTAATACAAGAAATAAAACGTATTTCATATATTTAGGTTTCATTTTAACAAATTTTATAAATAAATAGTAGGGTAGGATTTTATGAAGAAATGATTGAGTATTTACTGGGCAGCTGATATCACCAGACACACTTCGAGGTGCAATTAACGAAAAATAGGACTAGAAATCAGGTCCTGCCATCCAGGAGCTTACTAGATGGACTGAAGAGAGATAACAGTCCTAAAGTCACTATCCTCAGAAGTCCTGCTCCTCTCAGATTCTGAAGGAAGAAATGAACAGCAGTGATTTGTGCTCAGTCATTCTTTCTATGATATGAGAAACATAGCAAGCACAACTGGTCCTAAGTATTCTTATATAACCCTGAGAGGTACCTAAGGGAGCTATCCTAAGGAGTGATTTCATTTTTTTTGAGAACTTTTCTAAAAATTTCCATATTTGAATCTTAAACCAACATTGCAAAGACAATTTCTCAAAGGACTTCTCAATTTTGCCTTTAGATAATTCTGCTTCTGTAGAATGGTCCTTGTGAATTAAATGGGCTTAGTGGAAGTCCAGTTCTTTTCTTTCAGGAGAACTTCATTTAACTCTACCCCAAATTCATGCATATGGAACATGTTTAACTTATATGTATGATATGCCTATAATTTCTGGAGTAGCTCCAAAAAGCTGGGAACTCTGGAAATCTAACTCCAAGAGGACAATGGCTTTTGAATATTCTCTATAGCAAGGCAGAGTAGGACATTTAACAACTTCACTAGCCTATTTTACGGTGATTTCACTGCAAGTGAAGATGTCAAACACCTATTCCTATACAATTGTGGAAAGCAGGTTGTGCTCTGCTGAGTTACTCCATGATGCATGTGGAAAGCAGGCTGTACCTAACCCTGAGTTACTCATTTTACAAAGCAGTTGTTTGCCAGGAGTTTCTTCAGTTTAAGTGCTGAGGTGGAATTACTCTACACCTTATTTGTATAAGTAAAAAATCACATCTACCTGGCACAACCATAGGAAAAAAAACTGACAAATAATCATGCTAATAAAAATGATCACCTTTGAACTTAAAGAATTAAATCAGAAGCACATGGATACATAGGCATATCAAAACCCCATATCAGATAAATCAGGTCCGTGGGCTCATCAAAGATACCAGACCACCAAATGAAGTGTCCCTTTTCTGAAGCCCAATAAAAGGAGGTACTTCCTAAGACCGGACACAGTGGCACAATGACTGTGTCACCTGATCATTTGTCATGAACCTTGCCCAGGAAAATCACCACAATGACAATCCTCTGATTCTCTGTTTCTGGGCTTTAGCTCAGTGTCATTTCTCCAGCCCACAAGGATGCTTGGCCCACTCCAAGCTGGTACCTAAAGCTGACACTCTGAAGCTGCCACCTGTTCAGACCCTGGTTTGTGTTTTGACATCTTGGTGCCTTGAACAAGTTCACTGGCTGGTTTCTAACCTCATATGACCACCTGTACTGACTCTTGCATTCATATCTGCTCTGGGCCTTTGCTCTCAGTCCAGCCTCCTGAGCCCCTTTACCCTTTCTTAGTCTTTCTGTGACCTGTTTATATCATTGTATAAAGTGTGATGAATGACTTGAGTGTTATAGATATTAGTAATTAAGATTGGTATAAAACAATCTGTGTTTGCCCAGATTATAACTATTAGGTGAACATTGAGAATTCTGTAAATGGCAACTTCTCAAAGTGGTGTGGCTTATGAATTTATTGTTATTCAATTTAATTCTGATATTGTGGAATGACATGAATGCTTTTGGTCTATGTTACTGGTATATCTCCCTCACAACACAATACATATTTGAATTCCTGCAATGTCTGTCCCATGTCACCTGGCCTCACCACTACTGCTGTGGACAATCAGCCATAGATCACCAGGACAGATGACCCCACCAATTCAAGTGACTTTTAGGATCAACTTGCACTGCAAAGCTATGTTATCACAGCTTCACTAAAGTCAACAGGTAAAAAAAAAAAAAACATAATCTATCTTAAAAATTCAAATGATCCAACACTAGCAGAAGGGATCAAACTCTTTTTAACCTAAGAAAAAAGGATTAGGAGAATCTTTGTGAATCATTGCTGTGATTCCCTTACAGAGAATAAGCAGAAGACAAGTTTTAGAATGGACTAAATAGAAGCAGAAAATAAAATGTATTTCTTTGCTTTGGGAAACATTCAACTTGATAAAGATTTCATTTTTGTGGCTGTGGATGCAAAGGCATAATGAACTCATTTGTATCAAATGATCCCCCGAAGCTGAGCCTGGAAACCTGGGACTCCTTGAGGGCACTCCAGTGGTCCACAAAGTGACAAGGCAGAGCCCCAGGGCCTTCCCACCAAGTTCCCTGAGAATAAAACATGTAATTTTGATAAATGATTTCCTGCCATAAAGGTGCTCAATAAATAAGACAAAGACAAATGATATTTTAGAATGAATTTTAAAACAGATTTTTACTTTTGGCTTGGGGTGTGTGTGTGTGTGTGTGTGTGTGTGTGTGTGTG